GTGGGAGTTGACATCCGGCAGCGCAAAGATGTTCAGAATGTTCCCTTTTGGGTCCCTCAGCTCTGAACATGTGTGAAGTCTTTGAAATGCACATGTGTTTGGAGCTGAGGGACCACAAAGGTTCTATCCGGATTCCGGAAATCTGTTAGGCATCAAAGATCTAGAAATATAGGATGAGAGCAGAAGGGAAGAACATGATGTTATTGTGATTTTGCTGCGTATTATAGGCTGCGCTGACTGAAAGAATCAGTACGTGGGATCCGAACGATCTGAAGAAAACTGGTATCCCTACTGAAAGCCTTGTAAACCTGTACGATAGATGGGGTCATGGCGGATTTGGGATGATTTTGACTGGAAACATATGCGTAGATCCGGTATGTTTCCACCTCTTTACACTTCTCTCTTCTTCAGTATTATTCGTTGAGACGCTTTTATACTAACGTTGAGCATGGCTTTTGATTTTCCAAAAAAGTGCTGCGTTACATTGTTCTGTGGCCATTCTATTGGTGTCCTTATCAACCGCTTTCAGTTCAACTTGGAATCAGCAGGAAATGTAGTGTTCAGCAAGGAGAACGACTCGCCCCAGTTAAGAGAAATGGCCTCACAAGTTAGCGACAGCAATGCGGCAGGATGGAGCGTTAGCAGTAGCGCAGTTGTCACACGTAGGTCTGAGCACATAGTTGCGGTCTTCAAGTTTCATTGAACAAAATTCGCCTGATTTCAACCTGGATTAAGTAACAATTAGTAGAACAAAACAAAGGACTTCCTTCTAATTGATGAAGTTTGAGTCGCTAAGTTAGGCTATAAATTCTGTATGGATGAGCTGAAGCAGTATAAGAAGATTCCGATGAAGGTCTGCACTTGTAAGCATTTCGGTAAAGAAGTTTAGGGATATTGAAGAGAGGATGACGGGATTCGTTAATTAATAGATGCCACTGGCTTAGTTCACTAGGGAAACTGTTCCCGTACGACCTGAAAGATTATTGACAGACGTCATAAAATCGGTTCGATCAGAGGAAAAAGGTTTTCCAGGCAGGGCGACAAACACCAGCATCAGTGAATCCGCGTCCATTCTCATGCTCCGATGTGCAACTGGAAGCGAAACGTCGTTTCATGGGTTTCGGGAAACCTGTTCCACTTACCGAAGAGCAAGTAAAAACCGAGGTCGTAGACAGATTTGTATATGCAGCGAAACTCGCTTATGAACAGGGTACGCTATTCTTCCTTGATCTTCCCCATACTTCATTTTTATGTTGGTTCTTATGACACTGATCAGAGGGACCTTTGCAATCACTATTCTTTGAATATGGAACGCTCTTCAGGTTTTGACGGTGTCCAATTACACGGAGCCCATGGATACTTACTTTCACAGTTTATGTCTCCGACGACCAACAAGCGTACTGATAAGTATGGTGGATCAGTTGAGAACAGAACAAGAGTCGTGTGTGAGATATTCGAAGCAATAAGGTGAAGTTGATCATTTGGAGTTCAAGATATCTGAGTTTCGGCAACAGGCATAAACTAGCTTGAGAAGCATGACATTTCTTAGCTCATTGACTCGAAGAACTGTAGCGCTTCCACCTCAAATCAAACAGGTTCGGGTGTCGCGCCGGTATGACTCGCATTTCCTGAACCATGCCTATTCAGATCGGTCTAGAACGCAACTTCAATGCTACATATTCTAGGAAAGAGATTGACGCTTCCACTGGCTTCTTGATTGGTGTCAAAACTAACTCAGTGGAGTTCCAAGATGGTGGTCTTGATTTAAATGATGCCACGGCCATTTGCGAAATAATGGAGGTGAGTAAGTATCTAATAGGTGAACTAGATGGTTAATAGGTAGACATCCTACTTCTTCAAATAACCGTTCTTATTCCTTGTCTGAGCTCTTTATTTGAAAAAAAAAACGTATGGAAAATACAAATTTATTGACCAGCAAACCAAAAGGATAACGACAGGATTTGCCATGCTTATGCTTTTTGACAGGATTTTGTCTAATATGAAGAGGATCCATACAATTTTAGAAACCTCTCACACTGCGAAGTTTTTTTCGTGATCGATTATCGGGTTCATGGCATTCACCGGTGTTCGTTGCATCAAATAGTATTCAGATTTCCTGGAAAAAATTCTCTATTTTTGCAAAATAAAGACTACGCTTCACTAAATCCAAAGTCAAAATACTTTTCAGAACATAGGTTTCGATTTTGTGGAATTGTCTGGTGGAACCATAGAGCGACTAGCCTTCCAGCACATGCGCGAGTCAACTAGGAAGCGTGAGGCATTCTTCCTCGAGTTTGCTGAGAAGGTATTCATTCACTTCTATCCTTCCTTTCTTTCATCTCGGGCTGTTATGACCTACGGAGCTGATGCGTGGGTTAGGATCTGAGAGCGAGAATTTTCGCCTGGTACTGAAGGTGCTACAATGGTGGCTTTACTGCCCTCTTCCTTGTAGAAGGACGGTTCCAGATTCGTCCAACTTTCAAGAAGGCACGGGTGTACGTGACAGGTGGCTTCAGGACAGCACCTGCAATGGTTAGAGCTATACAGGACGGGACTACCGATGGTATAGGATTGGGAAGACCAATAACTTCAGAACCAGGTGAGCCCGTTGACAACAAAAGTGTACTGTCACTGTTATGTGAAAAGGCTTCAGATTTGCCAGCTAAAATTCTACGTGGCGATTGTTATTCGGCAGCAGACGTGAAGCTTGATCCTGATGACTTTGGAATTACATCAACAGCCAGTAATACCCAGATGGGACAGATGGGCCAGAAGCCATTTTCAGACGTTAAAAAGTCAGTCCTTGCGGTTCAGATCAATTAGTCGTTGTGTTCCTGTTCATAAGCAAGACTCATTTTCAGCGCCTGTGAAGATATCGCTGATCTCAGTCATCCCGAAGAGGCAGAAAACTTCCAGAAAGTTTTCACCTTGTATCTCGATAAGATGAGAGAAATTGCTGAACGGAATGAACCTCTGCGTGGTGTTATGCCCTACGAAAATGTGGTGGCATAGTAATGATCTCAATTCCTATACTGTAATTATTTATAAAAATGATTTTCTACTCAAGCTGTGTTTATACCTCGCGTTTTTCGCACTGTTCTACGGATCTTGGGTGTATCTGCAAGCTTCACAAATTTCTTGAACTAAACCAAAAATAATGAAAACCGCAGCTGCTGCATAATAAGGATTCATCACAAGGTAATAAGTGTAAGAAAACAAGTGGTATACAGCCTTTGCAAAATTTGCGCGTGAAATTAAACCTGTCGGCCATGAACGCACACACTTCGGCATACCGTAACCCAGCTTGATTACCACAAATATGCGCTTCGTGCTCCTAGGCACTTAATCCGACGCGCCGTTTGGCATTCTGTATGCAGCCTGTTTCCTAAACTTATGATTTTGCAGATGAGTGTACTGCACTCTTTGTAAATACTTGGCAAAGAGAGAGCAGGTACGGTGTAAGGGACGGAAGGGGAGCAGAGCGCAAAGGAGGGAAAGTGAGAAGGAAAGATGCAAAAAAGAGAGAAAGGATGTATAGGTAGGGCGCAAGGGAGATGGAGCGGTGGTAGAAGTGAGGAAGAGATATGGCATGGGCCTGACGGGCGCTCAGCCAAATCCTACGAGTCCTTCCTTGCTCAAGTAATTCGATCGTTCCCCCCTCCCCTTCTCCCCCGTCTTCCTTTCTCCCCTCCCATCTCTCCTTTCGCGGGTCCGCAATAACGAGAACGTCTTGAGTTTCAGTTAGGGTACCTTCAACTCGCCTTATCTACGGGGATGAGATGTGTAGCGGTCGTGTGAGAGTACAGGCGTCCATTCCAAGGAGACATGATAAAGTGATCGTCGCTTCTCCGCGCGCGGTGTGTTGTGCGGCCACAAGCGGCGAGTTCTCGTTGTCTGTCAATTCTAGAAACTAGCATGAATTTAAGAAAAGACAGGACTCCATGACGAGTGATATCAATTTTTCCTATTCCTTCGACACTCATGTTGGTTACGTGACTACTGAAACCTCTGGTGGTCCTGCTACGAAAGGCCAGAGTCCAGAGAAATAAAGAACTGCTAAGACATCGTGAGCTACAAAAACATGTCGCGAGCAGGGAAGACGATTTTTTTCTAAAAGGAGAGGGCACGGGTGGGTGAGACACTTAGTATGCGTGAAAAGTTTGAATGTGAAAGGTCGGTGTGGTCACAGAACGCCATGCAGACGTGAGAGCGCAGAAGAGGACAGAAATTTGAAGCTAGTAAAGGAATTGAGTTTTAGTTGTTTATGGACCCTCATGATTCAACTGGCTAGGCGGAACAACTCATCTGCCAAGCGCGGAGTCGCTCACAACGCCCATCAGCGCGCGTACTACGTTTGGCTTGTCACATACTCACTGCACATGGTCGTAGGAGATTCCTCAACAATGAGGTCGTAATTGATAGTTGAAGTGGGGGGGGGGGTCGCAATGACCAGGGCAGTCAGCGCGGAACATCGCGAAGTTGTCAATGTGCTGACTCCTGTATAGCGAAGCTTGCTTTGTAGAGAACCCGGATATGTGAAAAAAATTCTGAAAATCTGATTAGTGAAACTAATCAGTAACTGACTGGGAATATTGATAAGTTGACATAATTTCGTAGGTGATCAAAGAGCACAGTTAATACCCACTACCTGCGTCATCTCTGAACCCGTGAGGAAGGGATTGCCTTGTTCCTCTTGTGGAGGTGGTTCTTGCTGTTGTTGCTGTGGTGGCATCATGTCCGATGCTGAATATTTTATGAATTTGCAAACAACGAATCGCTGCTGTTGTGGAGGCTGTCCAGCTTGCGGATGTGATGACATCGACGACATCGTCGGCACTTGAGTCAACAGGCTTGGGCCAGGAATACCTCCCTCGAATATCACACAATTAATAGACGTGTTTTCGAAGCAAAACGACTATTCATAGAATCCCTCCATCTTTGTGTAAGAGGAATGGTGATTGCATACCTTCATGAGAGTTCCAGCGGACGGTTTGTTATCCAAAGGTGGACTCGGTACAAATGTTCCTTCCGCCACGCTAACAGCTGAAGAACTAGACGCAGCTGGTTCTAAAAAGTACTCCATAATGTTTAATGGAGCAATCGAGGAAATCATTGCACGTGCAGTACATGAGTCCTTTTATCCCTTGAAAAAAGGCTGAATAAACCCACTGTGCTCAAGCTTGTATTTTACAGTCATGACTCCCGCAAACGATAGGGCATGTGACGGCGCATGAGTTCTGGCGCTGTGAGGGAGCCCTTCCCTGCCAAAGATGCCATCTGAGAAGAGGCAGTCTAGCTGTTCTTGGATTCACCCCCTTCATGCGCGCTATCGTTCACAGGGAGTAGTGCTACAACGAAATCTGTGGATGGAAAGAACAAGAAAGTCTTTGATTTTCCAGGAACTAGGCTGCGCACTTCATCCCCCACCCACAACCCTCCTATCAAAGGACAACACGGACCTATTCAAGGTAGTGATCTTTTCTATATGAAACGTTGTTTGGCCTCGTCTTTTTTCGCAGTTTGAAAGTCACTCCATAACCGAAGTTCCCACAGGACTGGCATTTTTAGTTCACCTTCCATATCATTTCTTGGGCAGTGGTAAGTGGCATCTAGAAAGAATTTCCGCTCGAAGTTCTCTTGAGAACTTCTGAAGAATACGTGATGCCAAAATAAGCACCCGTTCCCTCACCTCCGCCAACAGCCTGTACACCATCGATCATCACCATATCGGCATGTCTGGCCGAACGCTTTTGTTCGGCTATTTTTTGGCGGATCGGCGTACAGAACGGTACCTGAAAAGGTCAGAGTTCGTTGAAAAAAAAATATGAGTCCTTTATGACCTTGTGGTGAAGACTTACCGAACAAGAATCTCGAGAACAATGCTTTGCATGATAGCAGCACAATTTGATGAGCTGCTTGCACACTGGACAACTGGCATTCACTCGCTTCTTGCACATCTTCGTGTGTTGTACGACTCGCTTCATCTTGTGACAAGACACACGACGACAATTCGCATCCCTGCACTGGCACGCGTGTACCAGTGACAATATGCAGCGCTGAAAACGGAAAGAAAGGAATTAGTCAAAGACAGCATTCCATGGAAACCTTGAGGAAGTCAGAAGGCAACTTTTACTCACTTGAATACCTTCGAAGCGATCGATGTCGCCGTAATCACCACTTTCGGCAAGGTTTTTTTGCTCCATGGGTGTTCGTGGGAGACACGTTCGCCACAGGTTTCGCACAGATCAAATTCCTGAAGATATGTACATGATAAGTAAGATCCAGAAACTTCTACCTTTGTTTTCACTCAGGAATCGCAAAAAAACAGGATTACTGTTTCGAAAATGAGAAAGATAATCGGGAGCGGTACGCAATCTTTGACAAAACCCGATGACTTACATCAAAATTGGTATTTACAATACCACTTGGCATTCGAGCTGTTGCACTTATTGTATGTGTAACTCATGTCCTTGTTCAAATCGGATTCGTGAAGTGCGTGACAGAAAGCGAGGGTTGAGAATTTTGAAACAACATTATGTAGGAAGGATATCTTCTAGGAAGTTAAGTGGTACAAAATGGGCTGTCGTTATTAGGCTGGTGAGACACACCTCGCAGTACAATGGCATCCCTGCAGCGAAAACGATGGGGCTGGAAAAACTAAGGATTCGGCTGTATTCCTACTTTGCTTTAAGCCGCGTTCATACCGTGCGACGTTTTTTAATTGCGTAAGTTGCGTAAGCTGCGACTAGTTCGTGAAGAATACATACGTATCGATCCGACGAAAGCTGCGTAAGTTGCGACTAGTTTGTGAAGAACACATACGTATCGATCCAAAGAAAGCTGCGTAAGTTGCGTAAGTGCGTAAGTGCGTAAGTTGCGTAAGTTGCGTAACCGACGACAACTTCGAGAAGAATAGATACGTATCGATCGTGAAGCTGTCGTCGGTTACGCAGCTTACGCAACTTACGCAACTTACGCAGCAGCTTTCGTTGGATCGATACGTATGTATTATCACTGAACCAAGGTCGCAACTTTACTACGCACTTTCGTCTGACGATGACGACGACGTCACGGTATGAACGCGGCCTAGCGTTTTGAGCGTACGCCATAGCTTTCAACGAGTGCCCGCGAAATACTACTACCCGCAAAAACGCTCGAAGCGATCGATATCTATACTTTCCTAGCTTACGCATCGTTGTATGCTCAGAACGCTTGGATCGATGATCTGGACTTGCCTAGTCGCTCAATAACGCAATATGATAGCAGTCTAGCAGTGTTCCCCTCGTGCTCTTGACCATGGTATCTTTAGGCTCTATTTAGAGGCGCCATTCGGGTCCTCTGAAGCAGCCTTGAAGTTCTTCCATTTTTCATTTGCTCGACTTTGCAAGGATCTTAGGCCGAAACGCTACCCCGCAGACCACACTTAAGAGGACAGACTAACTATGCTATGGCTGTATCTTTTCTGTATGTGCTGGCAGTCAAAGCAGATCCAAAGCTCAGTATGTAAGCAGATTCCCCACCTAGAAGGTGCGCGAAAATTAATCTGGGTGGTTGTGATAGAGGGACGGAGTTTAGGTCGAAAGCTATCGTACCCAGAGCACATAATCTTCTCGTAGGATTTTCTTGCTGAATATGACCTTCCCCCAAATTTCCTCAAAATATAGCTGTTAAACGGGAGCAAGAGGCAAAGCAGGTCCGAAACAAGAGAAATCATCTATTCCAGAAATGTCTCTCAGGTCTCCGCCGCTTGCCCTAGCAGCCAAATAACACCCCTCCGTTGCAACCCTCGACTTACCGGCCACGATTTAGAGATGCGAAAGTGAAACAGCTCTGCATTTACGGACCCTCCCACCTCGTACTTGGGGATAATCAACCAACCGCTCCCCTCGGCGTCAGGTCCTGGTTGACAGGCCACCTGATGGAGAAACCTGTCACAACAATCATGTCAGCTCGCGACAGAATCAGTGTTAACACGTTGACGACAACCGCGATTGGCGGGAAAGCACCGCGTGGGGGAATGGCATTTTTCCGTATGCATCCGCCATGAGCCACAGGTATGTGACAAGAGAATAATCGTAATTCGCCGCGCCGATGGAGTCGCCCCCCCCCCCCCCACAACTCACGGTGGTTCCAGGTCGTAGATGGCGACAATAGGCAATGTAGAACCGAGAATAGTCATAAATGTCCACATTCGTAGCCGACGTGAAATACGTGCTCCGCGACTATTGGCTAACACGAGTTACGAAATCGCCGTGCGCGCGGGGCAGCAAGTAAGGATTGCTCGCTGCCTTCTTCCGTGAGCCCCGAGTGGCCCCACCACCGCCTGCCGCAGACCACTCTACCCCGCCAACCGCATTGCAAAATGACTGGCAGTCCCGCAAGTTCGCTACTCCTACTATCCTTGACCACACTGGACACATTCCAAGCCATGCCCCTCATGATCACGCCCACTCGCAATCGCGATGTTGCACGTTTCATTCCACACTTCTGCTCCCGTGGTTTTTTAGTATTTTCGCTTTTTGTAAATCCACCCGACACACATTCCCAGTATAGGCGCTATTTAGAGTCCGCTAAGGCTGAGTCCAGCAAAGTGGCATCTCTCCAATGCTCAGCCTTTCCAAAGCGCGGGTAACCAGGCTGTCTCACGTAAGCTGTTGCCAAATGAGCATTATGTTTTGTGTCAGGATGTCAGACGTCCGCATTGCGCACGTTTTCATCGAATTTCGCAAAGGAAAGGTTTTGGCGCCAATTTGGCGCCCAAAACGCTATATGGCCCCGGCACTCAAAAGAAAGGATATATTCTATGAATGAGAAATATGTAACTTTCAAGAAATGTACTGGTGTGTTTGTATAGTTTTTTGTCTCTAGCTTCATTTGAAATTGCGATTCTCTCAATTCTACTCACATGTTCTTTGACATGTCTCCAGAATAAATAAGTAAATAATATTCCTAATGAGGATGCCACATAATCCAGATGTAAAAGTTTATATTAAATTCAGTAGCATATAGTACCCGGGCATAGAAGCTTGTATCGAGGGTGAAAAAAAGACTGCTCGCCCACTGGCGCCACACGGCGCCGACGACAAATATGATGTGGCACTCGTGATCACAGGCTCGAGCAGTCCTCACAGTCAAGGTTTTTCCAAAATGAACTGTTTTGAAGGTTTCTGTCGCAGCAGTAGCTATTTGAGAAACTTCAATCTCTAATTAAAAATATCTCTAAACGCGGCTATACTTCTGGCTCATCCTTGCTAGACATTCACTTTTCATAGGTGATTGAAAAGCAAAAAGAGGATTGATCGAGGCCGACGGCATTAACTCGAAAAGTGGTCGAGAAAGTTATGAGCCACCGGTGGCTCATATTGTCCCACATGACCATTCACCCATGAGCCATAGATGGCTCAAAATGTCCGGAAGTGGCACGCAGAACCCTCGATCTGATGAAACGACGAAACATACAGGTGCCTTCAGGAAACGCGCTGGAAAGGAGCCAAGGCCCGCGAGCTCGGAGAGGGGTCAAACTCTTCTACAATGGTGGAGGCGCCAAGCGGAACGGAGTGGCCACAGCGGTGGCGGAGCCCCTCAAGGACTGCGTCTCCACTGGGTCAGTGATCGAATCATGGGGGTGGAATGGACACGAAGGAGGGGTACTGGGCAGTAGTGACCGTATACGCACCGCAAGCAGGCTGCTCCGAGGCGAAAAGCTGAATCTGTGTAATTTTAGATCAAATCTGATCAATAGTGCAGGTCAAGTGGTCCCCTAGGAGTAGGACATCATGTATCAGAAGTTCATGACCGAACCTAAAGGCCCGTTCTACGCGGATCGCCGAGCGCACATTTTGTCGTCGAACGATCGGAAGGGCCTTCCCCCTCCCCCCTGTCTTTCGAGCTTTTCGTGCTGTTTTCGCCTCAACTTCTATCACTAAAATCTCCTCAATATGCCCCAGCTGGGAACCGAGTTCCTTCAAGCAAACAGAAAGGGTTGCCCTCACCCCGTGATTGCTGAAGAGTGAGCTGATGTCCATGTCGGGATCGGACTTGATTCGTTGGATACCGATGGGAAGTGGTGTGCGTGGCGTCGATCCACTCATTGACTACAGCTCATCGTCGACAAGAAACGTGACCAGTACGTTTTTGTGTTGAGAGTTGAAAGCAGAATAGTTAAACTGACCAGTCAATCATTTTAGAACGATAGTTTAGACGTTTTCAGAATTTTTATAAACTTCTCCAATATTTGGGTGCAAAAAGCAGAAAACAGTGTGGTCAAGCTGATGGGCAGGGGAGGGGGAAGCCCTTTGCAGTCAGCTATCAGACAGCTGTCTTAGCGAGTCGTTTGCACGTCTTGTAGACAGCGAGATCTTCTGGAGTCCTTGTCTTCTGCCATTGGTTGTACGCTTCCATCTCCCGCTTAACCACCTGCTGGACTTCCTCGTTTTCTGCTTTTTGCACCCA